AGAAAAGTTCGGCATCCTTTGATAAAAGTAATGATTCTTCAGAAGATTAATAAAGTAGATGCATTGCCAGATAGGTATAGTGTGCCTACGTAAAAATGAAATGTAAAGATGTAAATAAAATTGTGTATATTATGTTCTTCTTGTGATTGAATTAATCTACGTTAATTAAATTAAATTTGCCTTCACTCGTTTGAAATTCAAAATTCAAATATGTTTTATTCAAGTACGCATTAAAAATACACTTTTGAATAGTCATATAATCACTGTTTTCCCCAATTTTTTCTTTTCCATCTCCAGGGGTTCTGATTCTACTGAGAAGAATCATGGAAGAAAGTAAGAAACTTAGTAGTTGCTCTTTTCAAAATATTTTTACAATAGTTCTATAATTATGTAAAGCGATAAGATGTCATAAAAACATAAAATGTCAAATGTATATGTAGATACCAAATCGGTTTAGAAATTTCTAGTTAATCCTATGTAGTACGAGAGGTCAGTTCCAAGCATTTTTGTCTGACTTAAATTGAAAAGGTGAAAGATCTAACATTTCTTTTGGAATCTTATTATAAAAGCGTATATCGCTACCCAAGAACGCATTATATACTTTGTGTAACCGGAAAGCAGGTATTGTGATTTTATTTTTATTTCTACTATTAAAATTGTGCAAATCACTATTATTTACATCAATTCGATGCAATCAATTTCTTTAAACGGTTCTCTAAGAGATACTCGGGGTCCTAAAAAGTACTAAGATCTTATTTTACGCTTTTTATTTAATATGCACACTTTTATATTGTATATTATACCATTAGAGTTGTACAAAATGTTTACACGTTTCAAGTGCGTTAAAAGTGTCTACAATATTTATGGAATGGTTGACGACATATTCGAACACTTTGTGTTCAAAAACACACACTTCCAAAAATCGAGATTTGCAGTGAACTTATTGAACATGTTTATCTATTAGGTAATAATAATAATAGTAAGTAATTATTATAAACCCATATAGTTAATATTATAATAATTACTTACTAGAATAAATTATTATGGTATCTACCTATCCTTACCATTATCTAATTACAATATTCCTTGCGAGATCAGCATAATGTATTCGTGTCCATTCTGAGCACCCGGAACTTATTTTATTCTTTGGAACATGTACTCTGTGGCGGCATTCAAACAGTGTCAAATGTAATGCGTTCGGCGCGGCGGCCACGATTGAATGCGATATGAATAGAAGCCGCCGGCGCGTGTATCTTGACCTTGTACTTCCGAATAGCTGCCAAATTTCATTGACAGGTCAGTATTCGACCTTTGATGATGCCGACAACAAGACGCTGCGCACTATCAAAGTGCCGATGGTCAAAACTAGGGATGTACTGTTTTTTCTTTTAATGGATATTTTCATCCAGTATGTATGTTTATGGTATTGTTCGTAATGCGCGTAAGTCCAATTTTCCAAATTTTTTTTTATATATTTTTTTGCGTCTCATAGAGTCCCTAAGCGTATACCCGAACTCCTATACTCCCTGAAATGACACTCATTCCTAACTACAAGACGCAAGAGTCTCGCAGGCTTAGTCTTGTTCTTGCTCAAATCTTGCACGATTAGTCTTGGTCTTGGTCTTGCTAAAATTAGGCGGTCTTTTTCTTGGTCTTGGTCTTGCAAAAATGCAAGAACAAGACCAAGACTGCAAGACCAAAACCGATTTTGGGCAACACTAACTCCTAGACAGCATCGACATATCGAATGACGTGCAGTTTCGCGGGCGCTTGGAAGAGAAGGCTAAATTAGCCTCGAATCGACGACCGCTGAGTTATTTTTGATCAGCTCGATTTACTGGCGCTGCAAAGAGATTTTGCATCCCATAGCATTTTCTATCGCATTGTCCACGGGGAGTACTTACTTATATAAACTGTTCGGAATAATTTGAGTCGCCAAATTTCACCAACGCACGTCGGGACCAAACTCACAGTACCATCCACACCATCTGGGTGCGTTCCACCATGACTGTGCGAGTTACTAAGAGTTTTCTACCTCACAGGCCTTCTTTATGGAATCATCTGCCACCGGCGATTTTTCCAGACCGATACTACTTGAAGACTTTCAAGAAACGAGCATACTCCGTTTTAAAAAATCTGCAACGCACGTGCGGGTAAATGCAAATAGTGTTACAGTTGCTCATGGGCGCTGGTCGACACTTACTATCAGGAAAATTTGATTTAATGTGAGGGAAGCCGTGGAGTGGAAAGTTAGTAAAGTATAAAAATGTCTGGAATAGACAGAAAAGGATGGTGGGGGTGGGGGCATATTCATAGTTAACCTAAGGCTGTCGGAACTCTAAGTCAAGCACTGGATGACTCTTTTATCGTTGTTTTCGTTATTAACTACTAGCTTCAGGTAAAAAAGCCGTAACTGTTTTTGGTGGACCGGTTTGAGCTACTAAATAGATATTTAGCTACTATTAAGCTACTAAAACGTGTGCAATATTGTGTGTTTTTGTTTTGTGGTATCCGATCTTATCCCTGATATAAAAAAATTGTAATTTTGTGGTTCTCAAACATTGTTGTGGCATAAGATGGAACTGTACAACTGTTAGGCATTAATTTATACAGAACACTAACACTAATTAATTACTTATATAAATCTATAATGTCTTATTTTATAATAAACAATCTCCAAGCTTAACTCTAATTGTAAAAGAAATAAAAAAATTGATATATAAAATTACGAAATATTGTTCTTCCATTTATTTAAATGCGAACAGCCCTTTCATTTATACTCTGACTTAGCCGGCACAAACCGGTTTGTACCCCGACGGAGCGTCGGTGAACCTGTCGGTGAGAGCTCACGCACACATGGCTGCGCTATGTATGGGTATAGTCGCAGCGAGCCGTTTGTATTTTTACTACTAGCATTTAAAAATATAGCATTATTCGCCGGATATTTGAGTTTTACGGGATTGGCCCATCACCGATCTTACCCCAACGCATCTAAGGAGTAACGGGCTAAGTGATACTTAGTAAATTATTTAGTAATCTGTGGTGATACAGACATTCGCACGCGGACGTAGGATGAATTTTGATTTAATACGTGCGCCGCATTAATTTTTTTTCGACGATTTAATCTCACGAAGGTCGCTTCCGAGGCGTGCAAAGTATTGTGAACATTAGTCAGGCTATAACTAGGCTTAAACTCGCAAGTTTGCTATCAGAGAGTGATGCTTCTGTTCTTGAATTATTATTAATTCTGTGGTTGTGGTTTCTGTGGTTGGCTAGACATGTTGTATTTTCAACGACTTGATAAAACAATATTTAGGCAAAATTACTTTACACAAGTTAAAGCCCCGGACAAAATATACTTATTTGAGATCGTCATATACTAATCCAAAATATTATGAACAGTCAATTAAACGTTGGAAATTGGCTGAGATAACTACGATCTGCGTTTCATCTTGACTTAAAAGTAAAGTCGTGATTTACCTGTGGTTAAATAAAATAAAACAAATAATCAAAATTTTATAGTATAAAAATACGAAATTTTTACTTTTATTGATTTACTTACCTCATAACAGAAAGAGAAGTTTTAATTACCGATTAGTATTTTAACATAAGACTTACACAAATTAATTGTTAATTACAAGAAAATTGAGATTTATTTACAAAATTAAGGTAAAACAATATCCTTCGAATACTTATTAAGAACTGATAAGAACTAAGTAATTGTAAGCTTGCCGGTCATGGATAGTCACTCCCATATAATTCGCAAAGTTATGGTACACATACGAGATCCAAGTATTTACATAAACTGGAAAAGTGCGTACATCACTTTATTTATATGATACACCTTTTTTATATAGCTACATCACAGAGTTCGAGCAGAGACTTTCTCCTATGATAGTTAGATGTCATCTCCCTAATGACGTCTTAAATTTCGCTATACAAACAAGTCCCCTTCATATTTAATTTCAATGCTGTTTAGAGCTGAAACTCAAAACTACCTGCGAATATTGTGTGGCTACCATAGAATACTATAATACATACATAATAGAACGGGTGAGTGGGCGGAGCCCGTGTAGCCACGTTCGTTCTCAGTAGCTGTCCGGAGTCAGGAAGTTAGCGGTGTCTCACCCCCGTGCCTCGGAAAGCACGTAAGGCCGTTGGTCCTGCGCCTGATCTCTCTCCGGTCGTGTAGGTTTACCGTTCCATCGGATTATGAGAGTGATGGAATAGAGAGTGCACCTGTGCTTGTGCATACACTTGGGCACTATAATCGTGTCCTGCGCCGATGGCTAGCCGTTGAGGCTGGCCGCCGGGACCGAAATTCGGTATGGAGGATTATATTATTACTCACGCGATGGCAGCAAGTCGCTTTACGAAGTGAAATCGCGTCGAACCGCGGTTTTAAGTTTCACCTCCCTTTTCTCTAGTCTCTGGTTTACCCGCTGTTATGCGAACGGCAGTATACAGTAGATGCGATGGTATGCAATATCGTGCTTAAGGTGGGCATATCCATAATATTCTTATAAATTAGAGTGGAACTTACATTTGTTACATATAAAAAGGTAAAAACATAATAAGTCACACCGAAGATAAAATTGCCTTATAAATTATATTGTCTAGAGTAGCCATGCATTAAGTGTTAGCCCAAGCGCGGGTGTACTCTCTACTACTTCAGACTTATTGTCCGATTGAAACGGCAATCCGACAATACCGAAAAGACGTAAGGCGCAGGACCAATGACATTATGTGCTTTGCGAGGCAAGGGGGTCAAACACCCCCAAATTCCTGACTCCAGGCTACTAAGAATTTCTTGACAGAAAATCACAGTAACTGATTCCTGCCAGAACTGGGGTTAGGCAAATTTCATAATATACATAAATTAAAAAAAAATGTGAAACAGTGAATATTTTTTGGCTGTTGGTAGGCAAATCGATAATATATGATTTTCGAGGATATTATGTATGCCCATTTTTTACTTGCATGCTTTATAGACTTTGTACCTTAAAACACAAATAAGAGATATTTCTAATGCAATAATCCAGGTGATTAAAATAATTATGTCATTGTTGAAGTTTTGAGAGAGTCCTAAGTGATTAAGATACTGAACGGGGTGTCTAAAGAAACAATATGTTTTGTGGCAGGTAAGGCTAGGCCTTTCAAATCCGTATACGGTCAATAAAAACCCATCGAAGGCGTAACGGAAATAAGAAATCGTTGCAAATGGACGTAGGTAATCTGGCATTTCGTCATAGGGTATAAAAAATCCGGAAAACATTAACATAGGAATATTGACCGCCGGGATCACGAACATTCCAAGCTGAAAACAAAAAATAAAAAGCTGAAATATAATCAGTAGGTATTTTATGGCGAACACAAAAAAATGAGTGTATTAAATGTTAACTGGTTGGGAAACAAGCAGAGAGGACTTTATTTTTTTTAAATCAATATTAAGGTGTTTTAGAAAATACAAGTGACAAACTCATAGATACCTTTACTCCACATGCAGCTCCAATAACTAAGCCGAAGGTTTGGGCTAGTATTGTCGTCAATGCGCATATGACCCACGCTAAACCCATCCGGTGAAATTCTAAGGGCTGTGACGTTAAATACCACGCGGGGAATACAAAAACTGTAGCGCATAATAACTGAAACAAAAACAAATTGCTTAACTACTAGTAAATATTTGTTCCACTTTAAAACCTTACTATAGATTATAGATATAAAATTAAATCTGCCTTCGCAGCGACTATTTGAAAAGATCATCTACCTACATTATGTGCTAATAACAATAAAATTAAATAATTCATAAAATGCTTATGGTCTGATTCTCGTTCTACGATCATTATCTACTTATCTACCGTGACGAAAACAGACATTAGCTAATAATAACAATTTTAAAAATGTAAATTAGCTGTTCGTCAAATTATATAGGTAGTACCTACCATTTTATTACTATGCGGATGAAAATAATGATCTCGCCTTAAACGATTCTATTTATTAGAGAATTTAGTTAAATAAAAAATCTACATCAATATCGCACAGAAATCGTAATAATGAGACAATAGAAGTGGCATAGAAGCGTGACCCTGTCTCCGCTATGATGTGTTGACGAACATCATTCACCATTTTGTAATTTAGTTGCGCGAGCAACGTCGTACGTGAATTTATGTTATTATAATTGTGAATTGCATCATAATCAGTAGTAAAACTCATCAAGGACGTGTAATTCAACTAATAAGGGCATAACATTTCATCGGTAAGACTATTTATTATTTACTAATTATCATTGTTTTTACTAATTTACATCTAGATGAATGCTTTACTATGATATTTACCTTTGTAAACATTCATTTCTTACTTTTCGTATTGCGCAACTACCATTGCTGCTATTGTTCTACCGTAATACGCAACGCACGCGACCTTGACTAACTCGCCAAGGAATGTAATTTGAAACATTAGATATTATTGAGCAATGCGTAAGTTAATAAATTAATAATACGGCTGCAGGCATCGGTCGCTTAATGCGTATGTGTTAAAAAGTGGCGACATCGGTTTTCGAAGTAATCGAGCGCTAATTCATTCCTATTGTCTTATTATTACTATTTCTGTGATCGCACCTCATATCGTGAATGTCGTAAAAGGCGACTAGAGATCCACGGGTCGTCTACGGGTCTCACTAAGGGTGGGTCCCTTAGTCGCCTAAGATCTAAATGGGCATTGATAAATGGTGGTTATACCATTTCGGTACAAATACAGAATCCTAAGACATGACGAGAAGTTGTGTCAAAGGTGCGAGGTTCACGGGTTGTTTACAATGAGAAGTTATAGGTAGATTATTGCTTGCCTGCACTGGTAAATCCACTAAAATCTTCGAGACACAATACATTGTCAGGGAATACCATTTGTTTAAGTGTTCTTGAAGTACAACCGTGGATTCCACTGGAACTGAAAAAGTTGAGATATCGTTATAATTAACGCTAGAGTCTTAAATATGTATTTATTTAATAACCTATACAAAAATATACCTATACAAAAATATACCTATACAAAAAAATCAAGTTTTAGGGGTGTGTTAAACATTTTCAATATAAGTCACCTGATAAATTATAAAAAATATTAATTTTAAATTAGCCGTTCAAAGTTAGGTATAAAATGCCTCTTCGAAATACACGCTTGAAACCCTATATTGTGATCTATAGAATTCCCTGTAGCAACGTTTTTTCAAACCAAAGTAATTTCAGGCAACAACGGTAACTGCGAGCTAATATGTCGACCACTTTGGTTCTAATTTAAAAACGTGTGATCGAAAACAATAGTTACTAATACGCTGTTCTTTGGTTCGAAACCCAACCGAAACTAACATTTATGCAAAAACACAAACAGATATTTTCGGGTCTAGTTATGTCGCGCTGTTGTCGTATCTTTGACCCAGTGTTGCCAACTGCTAGCTTTACCCAGTAGCTAGATATTTTCAAAATGTTGCTAGATTTCCAGTTTTTTACCCTAAAAATTTGCTAGAACTTGCTAAAAGTTACAGTAGGTTACACTAAAATACCAGTTTCTGATAATCATTTTTATTCATTAATTCCAACGAGAAGTTAAATTAAGTCCTGTGTACGCAATTGAATAAAAAATAAATTAATCAATTAATGAGGAAGATGTCGATGGCTGGGGTTCAGTATCTTTCATTGATTTCGAATATTTTTCAACGGTGCCCATTTTATGCAGTACGTCTTTAGGCAAAACACAGTTATAGCAGCATTTACCACTTTTGCTGAGGGTGTCTCTAATGCAGAGGATTGAGTTCAGAGTTTTCAAACTCATTCTGGTTCTTTGCTTATTTTTAACTAAATTCATTTGAGAGAGTAACCTTTCTACCTCTGCATTAGAATGTAGCAGTGAAAGGCAAGTTAAAGCAAGAGTACTTATATCTTGATATGGGTTGTCACCGGAAGAATTTCTAAATTTTTGTTACTTCGACCCAAAACGGAACTGTTTCTTCAGAATGCCACTTATTTATTATATGCAGAATGTGCCACTGTTGCATTATCTTGTCTATTAGTTCTGGTGTAAATCCCAAAATTTCAGCAACGTCGATGATAGTGTTTGATTTGATTGGTTTTATTGCCTCCTCTGGACTTAGCAACGCCATTGATTCTAGCTGCTTGTAGTTGTCTGGAAGCCTTTGTTGCAATTCCTTAAGTATTGCAGTAAGAAGGTGGAGCAGCGTTGTCGTATTGCATTTAAAATTTCGGAGTCTAAATTATGTTGAGCAAACTGATTTCAAACATGTAGCCAAGATAAGGCCTAGGGTTAATATCCCTGTCAGTTATTGGATCTAATAAGTTTCTGTTTACAGGTCTTGGCATTAAAATTCTCTGGCTCACTGATTCTATCAGTGTTGTGAGTGTATTGAGAAGTTTTAATGGATTGGAGTTTTCACTTTCAAGTGATTTAATTGCTGTTTGAACATCATTTAAAACGCTTCTCAGAAACACAAAATATAAATAATTTCTTTTTCTTCGAGCATGTTGTAAATAAGTTCAGCTGAGTAGCAATTGTCTTTCACTCTTGCTAAATTAAAATGTATTTTAAATTCTTCCCATTGTGTCACAATTTTTGTTATCGCTGGCTCTATTGAAAGCCAACGTGTATCGTACACCTTGGTGATTTTCAAGCGGACTTTCGCCACAGTTTATAAGTTCGTATATTTTTGTGTATTCGTCTCGCCGCTTAGGAGACACAGAAAACCATTTATAAATTTCCTTAACCAAAAACTCGAAATTTCTTGGCAGAGTATTTTCGGAGGCATGGGTCCCTGCCAACTGCAACGAGTGGCAGACACATCGTTTCAGTATCAAATTTTCTATACCATATTCTCTTTTTAGGATTGCATGAACCCCGTTATTAATGCCTGTCATAACAGATGCATTATCAGTTCCAATTCCAATCATTTGTTTGATATCTAAGTTGTGACTCTCTAAGCATGATACCAAGCCATTAACGATTCCCCAGCATCTGCACTCTCAATAGAAACTAGTTCCAGGATTGAGCTTACTATCCTTTCCTGTGCGGCACTATAATACCTAATTACAAGACCAAGGTGTTTACTGACACTGACGTCTGTGGACTCATCCATTATAATGCTGAACTTTTGGTTTCCAATATCATCTAAGAGCTCCTTGCGAAAGTGCGGCATCAGCACATTTTTCATTATTTCTGTACATTTAGTGCGATGCAATTTAAGCTCTTGTGTAGCTTTGGAGTCTTTGAAATACATTTTGCATAGTTTACCTAAATTGTCAACACTTAATATAGAACAGTGCTCGGCAATAAATAAGGTCAATACGCCTTCAGATTCATCGCAAGGTCTAAATAAATGGTCTTTTGGTACAACTTTGAAAGGAATTTCTTTATTGCAGAGCAGACAAAATTAATATGCATAAGGACCCTAGACGCAAAATATTATTTGACCCTAAAAAATTGGTAAAATGAAAATATCAAACTCATTTTTCCAATCGATAGAGTCTGATATCAACAAAACGAATTTTAAATTCATTCACGTACCTGTTTTGAAGTTTTGAACTCTACTTTCTGTTTATGCTTTTTGGTCTCGGCATGCTTCTTTATATCAAACAGTTTAGGAAGAATTACCGTAGAACAATATGTACAAAATGCTTTGCTTGAGTCTGTAATTGCCGATTTTAGCCAACCTATAAATTCGTCCATATTTTCCCACCCCGGTCTGTATTTTTGTGGTTTTTTTTTCAAAGGTAAATCCATTTTCAAATTAAATTAAATTAGTTTTGTAAATGAATAAAACAAAACAACACAAGGTAGAATACGAATAGCGCGTACTATTTCAGTTTACTAAGTATTCTGTCACAGAGGAAACGGGGAATTCCCGGCCAGCGTCGACCTGTACTTAGTACTTACCATAGCATCTATGACCATAGATTTTTTTCTTTCGACTCGGCACACTACTAACTATAAAGTTGCTAAGTTGGCATCACTGCTTTGACCTGCGTATACATATTGTTGCAAGCTTTAATAAGTAAGTATTTTTGCTTTAAGCTTATGTAAGTATGAGTATTTTTGCTATACTACTATCTTGTTTTGCTATACTACTCTATACTACATAAGTAAAATAATAATATTCCTCTACAAGATGCAGGTGTGTACAAGCTAGATTGTGAATGTGGTCTCTCTTACATAGGTCAAACAAAAAGATCTATAAAAACCCGCGTGAAGGAACATATAGCTGATGTGAAGCACCGACGCTCCGGGAAGTCTGCAGTCTGCAAACATGTTCAAGATCATCCCCACCATTACATTAGATTTGATAAACCACAAATTCTCGCAAAAAAACACCGATTCCTACCAAGGATGATACGCGAGGCTATTGAAATTAAAAAAACATCCAAATTTCAATAGAGAAGATGGTTGGGTGCTACCATCTGCTTGGGATCCTATAATTAACAAAATTAAACCCAAACCCAAGCATACCACTGCAAGACTTCATGATACTATAAGCTCGATTTGCGTAAATCGGACCAAAAATTAATATTAAAAAAACTGAAGGTAGCCGGACTAACTATGACATTGGGACGTCAAACATCTCAGTCCCCCCCGTGACCATGGGTGCTGTAAAGCACCCGAAACGTCGGGATAATAATAAAAATAAATTAAAGTAATTAAACGCGATAAAATCCGTAAGTAATAGTTTTATTCAATGTGAATTAAAGTGTTAAGTGTGATTAATTATTAGCGTGATTTAAGTTTTAATTGGTGTTCAGTAATTAAAGTGTCAATTATGGTAATTCATTCGGCAGTTTTTATTGTTACGAACCCTAAGCTCGTAACAATATAATAGAACTGAAGTGTATATGTAATATCGAAATAACTGTCTTTTATTAAGCTGAACTATTTGCATGTCATTAAGACTAAATAAATATTTTTTTACAATTTATGTCTGTCTCTCTAGAGGTCGATCTGTCTAATCCGGACTAATTTAGGCTTTATTTTATCCGAAAATCATGGAGGATTTTATGCAAAATTGAAAAATTGATAAATATGTGGTCTTTGATGTTTATCTTAAGTCTGAATAAAGTCGCATTAATGGATCCTACCCAGGCGAAGCCAGGGCGGGTCGCTAGTACTTAACTTACTACTTAACAATATACTTACTTTTTTTTATAGGATAGGGTGACAAACGAGCACACAGTCCACCTGATGGTAAGTGGTTGCTGTGGCCCATAGACATCTACATCTGTCCTCGATTACGAATCAAGATGCAGATGCGTTGTCACCCGTGAGGACTAAGATGGAATGCCTCGTTTCCAGTAAAAAGGGTCTCCGGTTCTCTACACTCACCATACGAAACACAACAGCATTAAGCTACTATTTAACGCTGGTATTCTGTGAGAGCGTGGTCACTCCCCGGTCGAGCCGACCCATTCGTGCTATAACTATACTACTAATATAACTGCAGCATGGCTCTACCACGTGAACATAACTTACTTAACAATATACTAACTTAGTACTTAACAATATACTTACAGCTCTGTATAGTAGGCATAGCGTTTGAAAAGAACAGAAATAGTAGGAAGAAGAATAAGCAACTGGTGTTCGTAGTCATGCGATGAGCCTCTTCGCCTGCCCCATTATATAAAGCACCGAGTAACAGTGCCACTAACATATGTGTCACTAAACGTATCTGAAAGAAAGTAATTTTCGGTGTAGTCTACTTGCTTTCAACTTTCAAGAGATATATTAAAATTATGCCGACATCATTTCCTCTCGTAAAATCTATATCTAATAATATTATTGATATTGGTGAAGATATTATTAATATTGGTGAAGAATCATACTTACAAGTGTACTTCACTTTAAACTATAAACAAATAAATGAATATGTTATGAACCAAGTGATTAATAGGGCATCATTCGTAATGCCCGATATAAGTATGCAGTTTGATAAAAACTGTTGAAATAACCTATTCCGATGATTAAATTGACCAGTTTTACGAATAAAGTGCGTTACTAATAGCGCGAGTAATAACAAGATGGGTTAGGTTCACAGAAATCTAAATAATAAGGCAATATTATTTAGATTTCTGTGGTTAGGTTAGTTTTTATTTTTATTTTCCACCAAGGTGTGAATCCTTGCTTCTAATTTATTGGCAGTTTTAAACAGTATGGTACATAAAATGGCTTAACCTATGTTATAAATATTGTTAATGTCTAAGACAAGAGATAACGCTACATCATTGCGATTCAATACATTGAGGATACACCGTCTGCTAATACCTTGATGCCTGATCTGCGGGAAAACTGATGATCCAATTGCTCTAATTTTCGGGAAGCCTATAGGAAGGAAGCTTCTAAAGAAGCGCTTTGTGCACATCGAAGGCTTGAACTCTACTGCTTCCGCTCATCTATGAGTCAGTTAAATTAGAATATTTGAATTAAAACCAGCTGATTAGTGACCGCCAATGAGGTCAGCTTTATTGCGGTCAAATTTGGTACAATATTGAGATTATTATACCAAATTTTATTCCGTACATAAGAGGTGCTAAGGTAAGTTGAGCGCCCCCTCGAACCTTGCGACCTTGGCTTCAGCTTAGGCTCTGGGTAAATCAGGCCCTGACCAGACAATGTCACAAATAATGAAGTTTCAATCAGTATTAATTAGCTACATAGCCCAATTTGACTTGTCATTATGCATATTGCCCGGACATTATAAATAGTGTCATCATTATTCACTTGGTCCATAACAAATATAATAGATTAGGATACCTACTTAACATTCTATACAATAAGCACGTTATGTGAGCAAAAAAAAAAATGCAAATAAAAACCTATGGTTTAACCATGTGTAAATTATGTTGTAATAAAGTTCTAATGGCAACTACACTCCGCTTTTTGTCATTCATCATCATCATCATTAGGATATTATGTAATTATGTTTATTATTGGAGGTATCTATTAATTCGTATTAGCTAAGTACTGTTATGATCTATTTTATTGTACTTTATGTTTACAATATAAGCATTATTTAAATATTTTTTATCTACTAATGTACAATAATGTATAAGAATTGTGTGAATTGACTGCAGTTAATTAATTGAAAGTTGTAGTTGACTCCAAAGAGGTATTGACTTGTAAAAATAGGAACAAGTGCAAGACATATTATCGTTCGCGGCTAGAAGTTTATTATGTTGGATTTGCTAAACGTTATTATGTATATGAAATATAATTTAAATCGTAATGAAGTGGTAAGTTAATACAGTGCAACCTCGATATAACAAATCGGAAGGGAACGAGTACTAAATATTCGTTATATCAAGTAATTCGTTGAACTGAGGATTGTTATGTTGAGGTTAGGTCGGTCTAAAATTTGTTATTAAGAGGTAAAAAAATAGTTTTATTCACAACTTCTACCAATAAACTTTATATAAAGGTTTTGGGTTGACAAAATTCGTTAATTACACTTTCTTGATAATTGTAAATTCATTATAAAGAGGTTGTTCACAATGTAAAGGTATATTTTATATGAATCTTATAGACAATTCAAGGAGATCACGAAAAATTTGTTAAATCGAGGAAGCCATTATATTGAGGTATATACGTTATATTAAGGTTGCACCTTGAACGTTAATTCGTGCAAGGGTTGCACTATAGTAATGAATGAACGCTCTTTCACAAACTCATTATTCTGAGTAACAATAAATACATGTTGAATATTGTTTACTATTAACAATATTACCAGATAAGATCAAGGACATTGTTTAATTCATTACAGTATAATTATATTTACCTGTGTCAAGTGGACATCTCGTAATGCTCCAATGTATCCACGCCATAAGAGAGCCTTCAATTGTTGTATATAAGAGGCTGTGTAATTGGTTACGTATGGCGTGTTCACATTAAGCAATATATCCGCTTCATTTGAAATATCTGCAAAATTATATTTATTACCCGCTATAAGGCTGCCAGTTTTATTACCTCACATTATGGTAATATATTTTTTTCAACAAGCAACAAAACGAAGATTATCTTTGCTATTAGGGTATTTTTGACTTTAATTGTGACTTTGACTTGGGTCATATAATATACTAGCTTGCCAGGCAGACGTTGTTCTGCCCTTTTCGATGACCCTTTGTCATTCCTATTAAAAATCCTTAAATTCGCAAAAAAATTTGTGGGTCACTCATGGGCAAAAAAACTATCCTATCTCTCAAGTTGGACCAAACTGCACATGGTGTGCAAATTTGATTAAAATCGGTTAAGTAGTTTAGGAGTCCATCGCGGACAAACAACGTGAAACGAAATTATATATATATTAAGATAATTAGTTATTCAATATAGAGTAAACAATAAATTATATCTAAGGTAAGCTTATTAATATATACAAGGTTATTTTACATTTTTTATAGGATAAGGATGACAAACGAGCACATAGTCCACCTGATGGTAAGTGGTTGTTGTGGCTTATAGACATCTACGTCTATCCTTGATTACGAATCAAAATGCAGATGCGTTGTCACACGTGGGGACTAAGATGGAATGCCTTGTTTCCTGTAAAAAGAGTCTCCGGATCTCTGTACTCACCGTACGGAACAAAGCAGCATTAAGCTGCTACTTTAAGCTGGTATTCCGTGACAGCGTAGTCCTTCCCCGGTCGAGCTGACCCATTCGTGCTACAATTATACCAGTAATATAGCTGCAGCATGGCTCATTGAATATTACACATTACATTATTATACCGCTAATGCAGTTTTTGAAAATACCAATAAATAAGGCTTCTAATTTTATTTGAAATTATCCTAAATTGAATGTGATTTATGGGCAACAACGTTTTTGTCTACCGATCGATTCTTACGAATGTGCGCGTGCGCAGTAAAATAAGTTAAAATAATGCATTACCACGCATTTTGAATTTTAAAATTAAGAAGGAAAGGATGTCAAGATTTTTTAAAATTAACTTTTCTTCACCATTTGCCTATATGAATTATTCTGAAACGTCTCTGCTAACTTGGCCGGTTATTGCAAAATAACCCTATATAGACAAGAAACAGAAAGGGGCTGAGAATTGATCCCTAAGGCACACCCATTTGTAGGTACTGTCAACCCGTAAGAACTCGTGCAGTTGATAACAACTTTTGCGTTCTGTTACTTTGATATAAAATAATGAATTCAAGAGCATTAAATTAATGCAACATTTAATGCATGCCATTTAATGCAACAGTGTCTGGGACTGTGTATGTAGTGGCCCATTTCATATTAATTACCTATATGAACATTTAATATTCTCTACACCTGCAGCGCCTTAATGTTTAGTAGGTACATAATACTTTTAGAAAAAAAAAACTGTGACTGCACGTCAGAAGTGAAAATTTCTTAGCTCCACAAGCTTGTAAACATTATTTTCCGGTAATAGAAGTAGTTTTTTTATTAGAAATTATTTTTATCCACGTATATTAATATAGTAATAATATTTTCATTTATTGAACTGTTTTACATGAAAAATAATGATTATTATCTATATAATACAAACAAATTTATAAATACTTATCATTTTATAAAATTTAATCAATTGGATTTTCAACATTACCTACTTATCTGAGCGTCACGGTCACGCGAGTTCAGGGCTTTTTCCTCATCTCAAAAGTGCCCCACGTGCCTAAAGAAGTTTTTACTTAAAAAATTCTGATTGTTAACTAATAACAATAAGAGTTAAACTTTATAACAAATAATAATTAAATAAGAACTAAAAGAAAAAATTATAAGAATTAAACTTTATAACCACTATTTTTTATTCTATAGTTTATAACACGTTGAACTTATTACGTACTAACCTAAATTTTGTTCCATCCTTAAGGGGTCGGCAATTTTTCTCATTTCCATAACATAGAGTTTAGCTTCATTTTCTAAAATTGCTTGGCCTTTGACATGCTTGTTGCTTGCTATTTCTATAACTGCAATTAGTATTAAAGATGTAAAAGGTTTTTCAGTTTTATACTGCAGTTTATTCAGTTATAAAATATGAGATTTTGAAGGTTTGAAGTATTAAGCGCTAAAAGCATTTTCATCGTAATCATTAGTCCAAAATAATTTACATCGTTGGAATTACTATAGGTATGGGTTCTCTGTTAATACTTAATACAGTCATTATTCGGATAAAACAATTTCTTTTAGCAAACCCATATAGTTGGTTATTCCAGCACCTATAGGATTAGATTTGATAGTATTAACTACTAATTCTATTAATACTTTTCTTCTATAATTGTTTCTACTGTAGGTACTTCTACCGAGTTTTAATTATACACTGCTTCCCCTAAGGAGGCGATTTTGCCATAGTTACCACACCTGGTGTTTTAGATACATGCTGCTACCTATCTGGTTCATCTCTCCTCTTTGGTGCCTCCTACGTCACGCAAGGGGTGATATTGAAAATTGGATATTTCTGTCGCCACTACACAACGATACAGTGTGATGGTTTTGTCACAACCTATCATATCCCAAACGAGATTCCGATATTTCACTTAATAAGGCGTGAAATAGGATGATCTCGTAAGTAGTAAAGTTAAATAAAGTAAAGTAAAAGTACAGCTTATATACCGGTCTACCGCTGAGCAAAGGCCTTTTCTCATTTCTAAGATGAGGCCTGTTCCCATCAGTATTTTGGAGTAGGGTTTTATGGCAAGGAAATGTCCGCTACGCTGCCCCAATACCTGTTGGCGAATTTCACGTGTCTTAGAAATATTTTTTTTCTTATTTCTCAGAAATGCAGGTTTCCTTAAGGTGTTTTCCTTCACAGCTGATCGCGTGGTAAATCAGTATTAAAAATTGCAAGTAACAATTTCATTATTGCCGGCGGGGATCGAACCCGGGTTGCTCGCATAGTACGAAGTATACAGAGAGCGCGTAGGCCCTGGGCTACCACGGCTCTTAATTTATGTTTATACAAATAATACTTATACTTCCATATCCTCATTTGCAGCAAAAAATTACTAAATTTTTCGCTATCAAAGGAAATAAGTAGGTAATAATTTTAAGAATTTATAATTAAAATATAAACTTACGATAGTCAGCAATATTGTAGTATTGAGGGCAAGTCAACCCAGCCTTCTTTAATACGTCAGGCACGTCTGTTATAGTGCCGGCGTATAAAGTTCGCCCTTCTGCGAGAAGTATGACATCATCTGCTAACGTAAACAGTTGTGATGATGGTTGGTGTACGACACAAGCAACTGTTCGGCCTGTTCTGGCCACTGCTTGTATAGCTTTAACCACGGACATCGAGGACACAGAATCAAGGCCGCTAAAAATATTGAAATTTTTCAATTTGTAATTACAGAATATTATAATGGTATAATATATTTTACAACTTTAATACTATATTCGTAATACTACTGAAGGAATGTAAAAATTGTATTAAGGCCCTAAGATCGGGTTAAATGCCTAAATTCTTCAAGCTTCTTAAAGCCTTAATAAGGAAAAGTGAACATGCGTTTAAAGACACTTTATTGTGACAAATAGTCTGGAAAGAAGACATTAAGATAATGTGTTATCAACATTATACATACATTTATATTTAAGATATTGTCCCATAAAAATCGTGGGCAAATACGAGTAGGATCACCCGAGGCAAGTGTGACAGTGGGGCAAGTGTAACAAATACAAATTATGCGGCCTAAACACGGTTTTTGGTTTAATTCCATCTAGGTATTAAATAACACAGACAATTTTACGCTATTGACTAAACTAACAATTAAGTACACAGCTTGAACTATTTTATCAACAGACGTTATTTTTAAAAACTACTCAACTGGCAACAGACAGCCCAATTTTAAGAGGTGAAGTTATAAAGTGTTTCGATATGTCGTTAAGTTATTTTAAATCAGATACAAGGTGAGTGATAAAGAATAATATTGGTACTTATAGAGTAATATGTTTCTGCGACCTGAAATTCACTATTCTTTGAAATACGGATACAGTTACAGTTACCTCAACTAATACCTAACATTGGGGTAAGTGTGACAGTTTCACGTTTATTATGATTATAAAATTAAATTATTATACATTGTTAACGTTCTGAATTAAATTTTATTTTGCACTTGTCATTGCTTTTATTATACTTACAAAACATCCAGAGCTAGTTTAGTAAATATATTTAAACTTTAAAGGCACACTACTATATCGGTTAAAAACAGTCACACCTGCCCCATGTTGGGAAAATTCATTGTTACACAAAAATGGACGTTCAAATCGTTTCCATAGATCATAAAATATATCAATATTAGTACCATATCATAAATTTTGTTGAAAACCACATATAATAATAAAGTAACTATAAAAAGAAGCGTACTGTCACACTTGTCCCATTGATGGGTAAGTGTGACAGTCTTCCACCTCAATTAGTTTTAATTACCTCAAATTACAAAATGCTACTTGTAGATAATAAAATTCTTGATCAAACGTATAACTACTTAATAATATATGTAATGAAACTGAATTTTCTATATTAAATCCTTACAGAGTAGAAGTATTAAAATGTCGATTATAGTTTTAATTAATTTATGTCACACTTGCCCCAGGTGACCTTATATAACATTCGATTAGTCATTATGGCAGAATCGCTGTAAGACCTTGGTACAATGCACAATGACATTAGTGTCTATCAATAGCAAGGTCTAAAGATGAATATGGCAAAACCCAAAGATCGTCTTTTATGATATAACAGGTTTTATTGGAAACAACACTCGCAACACAACCTGAGACAAAATTTTCGATTTGCTAACGAGCGTACAGTCCACCTCATAGTATAATGCTACTATAACCTATCGATAATTGCGATAAACTTCAAACGAAGGAGATTAAAGATGCGTTGACCCCTTTGAAGCCTAAGATAGAATGCAAAATCACAGTTTGTAGTTATACTGCAACTTAAAGGCAGAAATAGTTTTTTTTTATAGAATAAGGGTGACAAACAGAAAGTCGAGCCGACCCATTCGTGCTGCAACCATAAAATAGCTGCAGCGTGGCTCTACCACGCAGATTCCTGGGTAGATAAGATGATTTTAGCTAAAACGGACTCTTAGTCAGTAGTAATTTATTTCTGTATTAATTTTCACCTCGAGAGATTTTTTTTTTTAATTTCGCCAAAGGCCCATTTTCAATATTTGTTGTGTCCCCGGTCAAGCCGCCCCATTTGCCCTACAACTATAATATTGCTTACCACGTTGATAATTGTCACGTCAATATCTCTCATATTCCACCTACATGTGAAGAAGTTTTTAAAATATTACTATAATGGATAGTTACTTAATATAATTGATAGAATCAGGCGTTACTTTGCGGAAATCCATTATAATAAAAATATTCTTGACACTGGCGAAAGTACAATAGTACAAGTTCATTACCAAAGGAGAAAAAGCTATTATTGTTTGATTTTACTAATAAAAATGTAATTTTGCTTGAGAGCTTTCGTTCTTACCTGCGTTTTATTTACCTATGTACAAATGCTGTAAATTATATAGTAATAAAGATATAATATTAACAACGTGGATTACCTTGTGGGTTCGTCAAGTAACATGATATGAGGGTCAGTAAGTAGCTCGCAGGCGATCGTTAACCGTTTTCTTTCTCCACCCGATAGACGGCTTGTTCTTGTGTTGAACACTTCACGGATTCCTAGTTGACATGATATCCTCTCTATCTACAAAAAATAAATTTTAATAAACTTTTTTTGTAATGATTTCTTATATTTACGCGAACACTACACATTGATTAAAATCGGTTTTACGGATTTTATTTCATTTAATTTTTTATTTTTTATTCCTGACGTTTCGGGTGCTTTCCAGCACCCATGGTCACGGGGGACTGAGATGACTGACGTCCCGATGTCATCGTTAAACCCGGAGTACCTTCAGCTTTTTTAATTATTGTTTATGGTCCGATCTATGCAAAATGAACTGACTGTGTTTTGAAGTCTTGCAGTGGTATGCTTGGGTTTAGTTTTAATTTTATTGATTATAGGATCCCAAGCAAGTGATGGTACCCAGGCTCCTTCTCTATTGAAATTAGGATGTTTTTTAATTTCAATAGCCTCACGTATCATCCTTGGTAGGAACCGGTGTTCTTTCGCGAGGATTTGTGGTCTATCAAATCTGATATAATGGTTGGCGCCGTCTAGGATATGATCACAAACTGCAGACTTCCCGGGACATTGATGCTTTACATGAGCTATATGGGATCATGTGGACCATGGGTGCTGGAAAGCACCCGAAACGTTGGGAATTAAAAATAATTAAAATTAAACGCGATAAAATCCGTAAAAATAGTTTTAATCTAAACTTTTTTTGTATATTTCTTGTTTGCAGTATGTAGATATACTGGATAAAATCTGCATTTCTTAAGAAAAAAAGAAAAAAAGATAAGAAATCTAGATGATTTCTTTTGATAAGTTAGGAGAATATCTTAATTGTGTTTGTCCTTGAGAAATTTATGTACGTAAACTGCGTCCACGATACAGGAGAAAATCCTAGTGTGGGGATATCGTAAAAAAAAATCACTTACACATAGTTTTTTTTAAATCACATTTTCGTCCTTATCGTCATTATAAATATATAATTAGTTATAGATTATTATTTGATGTCAATTATAATAATAACTTATAATCCACATACTATATTTTTTATAAAAAATACTAGCAAGACTACTAGAATTGATAATATTCTCTTTAAATTCTTGTGTTAAGAATGGTTCACCACGGAAGTCGAATGGCGGATTCGAACCCTCGATCTTTTGAGTACGCGGTCCACGCCATGCCATTAGGCCACTGTCGTTATAATTGTTATTCATTTATTGTAATTTAATAAGTTATTGACTTTTTAATAGGTCAACCACAACCTCACATAGTATATATACTCATATAGTAGAAGCGTGGCTTTCCTCCCGTCGAGCCTACCCTCTACCCAATCATGCCGCAGCTTTATTACAACTATATAGCGTGGCCCCACCACGTATAATCCGAGTCCAAGCTGATGTGCGGAATTACTTACGGGGTGTATGGAGATATTTAAAATAATAATAATAATAATAAGTACATAAAATATTATGTCTACTGTTTATATATCATTAAAGTGGCAAACAAAGTTAAATTTCATCAGATGGAAAGCGGCTATTCGTGGTAGTCCAAGGGCACCAGCTGAAGCTAAAATCAAACAAAAAGACGCGATGTCACCAGTTGTGTATGGCAGGACACGTCACAGCCTGTAAAATTTTAAATCAGAATACACCCACCTGTATAAAAAGAGACAGAAAAGGATACCTGCCTTAAAAATTTAGTTAAATAAAAATTTATATTTGTTTGTTCGTATTTTATGCGCTGCATTACCGTTGAACAGATTGTGGTAAAATTTTGTCAACATATTGCTTGCACTTCCGTGAAGGTTATAGGTGGCGCTGTTGTAGAATCCAGATATTACCCGTGCGAAGCCGGGACAGGTCGCTAGTTAAGTTAAATTAAGTTAAGTTAAGTTATAATAATAACAAGAACATATTTTATTGTTTTTAAATATGCATGCGTGAAAGGTAATTTTAAATGCGTAGCAAGGTCTGCGTACCGTTTCTGTGCGGTCAAAGCTCGTCGTCCTTGATAACTTAAGTGCACCAGCAAAATGTAGTGTTTCACGCACCGTTAAAGCATCAATGAGAGTTGCATGTTGCGCAACTAACACCGCATTACTGCCAACCCCTTGAATAGAGCCCTTTACACCTCGCTTTCTGAAAAATAATAAGTAAGATGTCCTATTTAAATATGTCACCTATCGCGGATAATATAATAATTTATTTTATTTTGATAAACTGTACAAATTATTCCAATAAGTCTTAACTTAAAAATAGTCTACAATGACAGGCACCTGAACTAGGATAAACCTGTATCTCAGGTGTATGTGCTAAAAGATACATTAACAAATATTTTCTGTTTCTTATATGAAATGAATAACGTACTAACTAATAAGGCTTATTTGGGTAAAATATATCATCATTGATTTACTTATGATATTAATTAACTTAAAACAATCAGCAACTTCTCCGTATCATCGTATGACAAATTTTGTAACCATGTTCGAATTACCTTTTTACAGTCTGTCATTTTTAATGGATATATGTACAAAATTGCATTGACTTGATTATACAGAAAAGAGCCATGGAATGTAAAAAATATATGTATAAAAAATGTCTTATTCTAAAATTACTTTCAATTACATAATTTTTGTGTCCTTTATCAGTGACCTCTCTTCTGTAGAGCAATTTTAAGTGTTGTTTTAGTAACGTATTCATAACCAATAACTGACGCACTGAGAGGAAATTATAGGATTTATATAAGCAATGGGATGGAAATAGAATAGGGCGGAATGATGCAACTTTTAATACAGCTCTTTGAGCGCGTTCCAGTGGTAGCAGTGTAGTTTTAGCTGCTCCACCCCAAGAGGTTATACAATAGGTAAGTATTGACTGACATAATGCGTAATATACTTGTTTTATACCTTAATATCAGCAAAAGAACGAATTTTTTTTTAAAAACAAACATTAGTTTACGAACTCTATTACATAGGTGGTTTATGTGGTTTTTAAATGTAAACGTAGAATCTATAATTATTCCAAGGTACTTAATAGCTTTTGTATTAGAAATGACTGGGCAGTAACATTTAGACTCTGTGACTGAGTAACATTGATGTGCATAAATTTCTGGAACGGTTGTATGCTGGGTTGAGCTGCGCATAGAATAATGAATATATTTGGTTTTGTCCGTATTCAGTGTTAATATGTTTTGTTGGAGCCATTTATTAACTCTATCAAAACCTTGCTGAGCATATAAATAAACCTTGTCCACTGTATTTGCGGAAAAAAGTAGCACGGTATCATCTGCGTAAGATATTATTTTACCTGAGTTAAGTTCAAGATTGCAAAAGCCATTTATATAAATCAAAAATAGGGTTGGCCCTAATACACTTCCTTGAGGCACGCCAAAATGAGTATTTTTTTTGTTCAGAGCTAACAACCTTATCGATTTTTATGCATTGATATCGATTTTCTAAATAATTCTCAAAAAGTTGAAGCTGCTTACCTCGAATATCTATGTTCTCTAACTTATTTAATAGGATAGAAATAGAAACCGTATCAAATGCTTTTGCAAGGTCAAGGAAAATTGATTGGTTCTTGAGAGACGTAATCGGTCATTTCCTGCACAGCATCAGCAGTGGACAGTTTAGGCCTGAAACCATATTGCATATTCGATAATATGAATTTGCTTTGTAAATAATTCATTAATCTGTTGTTAATTAATTTTTCTAATATTTTAGACGTGGATGAGAGTATCGAGATAGGCCGATAATTGGAAACGTTTTTTTTGTTCCCCGATTTGAATACTGGAACTACAATTGCTTTTTTAAAACAATCTGGGAAAATTCCTTCAGAGAGACAAATTCGGAAAATATGGGTTAAAGGTGGTACTAGAATTTGTCTATATTTTTTTAATATACTAATGGGTATGCCATCCCATCCAACCGCGCTTGTTTCTTTCAGTCCCATTATAATCCTTTGCACCTCACTAGGGTCCGTATCTAATAATGTGAACGAGCTTAATTGGCAGTTTTTTTGAGTTAAGAAAGTGGCCCTGTATTCACGATTATTGTTAGAATTTTTTGTCATCTGCTCAGCCAGATTTTTACCAACATTCACAAAGTAATTATTTGCTGTATTTGCTGATATAAGCGGCGAGGCATTATTTTGTAATAATTCTGACGAAGATTCATGCTCTTTGGAAATAAATGCAATATCTTTTACATGCCGCCAAATCTTTTTATTATCTCTACCAGACTCTTCTAGTAAGTTTGTAAGATAATTATACTTCAACTTTTTTTAATAAATTGTTACAAAAATTCCTATATCTTTTATATGAAATTTGTAAAACGGAATTAATATATGTTGAGTTTTGTCACAGAATAATAAAAGAGATTAATATTATATTTAAAAATAAAACAACTTTAAAGTATTTGACAAAATACTTTCGCTTTTGTTACAATCTTCTTAAATATATTATACCTAACTGATGATGTTTCGTTTCGATACCTACCTGTTCGTCACACAAGCAATTTCACTTTGCACGTGCACGGCAAGTGCACGTAGGTGGAAAATGGAATACCTGTGTTCTGGCGATTGGCAAAAACGCTGAATCTAAATTTCAATAACCGGTGATGGAAAGTAGCATAATGCAAAGGTTTAGCGATCACCAAATCTACCAATTTTTTTTAAAGACATGAAGCTCATAATATAACTTAAATTTAAAATGTTAAAAATAGTACAAGGTCAATACAGGTACTATTATTTATTCTGTGATAATAGCATAAAGGTCTGTAAATATTTTAATATGTCAGTTTTAACAAAATAATATAAGTTCATTAGACAGGGGGACTTGGGAAGTGTCCAATATATTGTTTAATTTTTAATAAGCTTATTTTGACAAAATTTCTTTAACTAATTTTTAAATGTTGTATTTGTTTGTTGCAATATAATAGATTTTATTGTAAAATTTCATGGATTCATCAAAAATAATGTTTACTTTTAGCTAATCTAAATTGAAGAACCTTTGGCGTATCACCGCGACCTCACCGCTTATCACCGTACTATAGGAGATAGTCCGAGTTTTTATAAAATAAATTTCCTATACGTATCTGATGTTCTGAAAAATAAAAACAGCGACGGAAGTGTGGAAATAATAGTGTGTTAGAAAAGGTCGCGTAGTGATTAACTGAGGCCCCAAATTATATATTGACTATATTGCCTTATCTCTCAACCATAGCTTTATGTTCGTGTAGACTTACTATAATAATCTTACGTGTGTGGTGCTACAAATTATTCGAATATATTGTGAGGGAAAGTAATTTATTCATTCATTCATTCATTACAGCCCTTCACAAGTCCACTACAAAACATAGACCTCCACCAAGGAATGCCACAAATTATGCTCCTGAGCCACCTGCATGCATCGACTTCCTGCACGTCTTACCAGGTCGTCACTTCATCTAGTGGGTGGAAGGCCTACACTTCGCCTGCCGGTATGAGGCTGCCCCTCAGGAACTTTCTTTCCCATGGGTTGTCGGTTCTCCGAGCTATATGGCCGAACCATTGACACTTTAGCTTACTAATCCGTTGCGCTATGTCGGTTACTCTGGATCTACTACGAATATCCTCGTTTTTAAGTTTATCACACAGAGAAACCTCGAGCATAGCCCTCTCCATAGCTCGCTGGGCGACCTTGAGCTTCCTTATACGGCCAGCAGTGAAAGTAATAAAAAAATAGGGTGTAACATGTGAACAGTTAGAACGCTATGGTGTGGAAGCCTATGGCACTAATATTTTACAAAAAACAAAAACAATAATTTTCAATTAAACGTTTGAAATTTTTTTTCTAACAATTAGGTATATTGTCCTTTGTTCTTGAGTCTGCAATCTTGCGAAGTGACAAGATGTCTACTAAATTTATTGGTTTAATGGCGTTCGTAAAGGGTGGATATCACAGATTACCCCCTAAGGAGGTAATCTGTGGTGGACATGATTTACATTTCGATAGATTTTAATTAATTTATTTATTTAATTCAAAATGTTTGTTTTTATTTTTTGTAAAATATCAGTGCCATAGGCTTCTTAAACATATAACAGCTTCATCCAGACGGCAATTAATAATAAATATTTAAAAATTCTAGTAGTTAACTGACAGAAAATTTCTGGCGTGTTTTTACGTTATGTATACGAAATTATTTCACATTAATTTCTAATCACTTTTTTAGTTCTTGAGGAGGGCTAATAATCATCCGCTCTCCAAATGTCACCGATTGACTGAGGTGAACTTTTTTGTAACTCAATGTCATTTAATTGAGAACTTAGTTTTAAATAAAAGTTTATCTGTTTCTCGAGTAATACATTAATATACAAAACAATGCCTCAGTGGTTTCTTCTTTAATTTTTTGCACATTTTTAACTCTTTTATTAATAAATATCTGTGGTTTGATTTTTTTAATGTAATTAATATAAAATACAAGTCATGGTTCGGAACGAAACATTAACCTTTACATTTTCCGAACAAATTAACTTCCCGTTGTGAAATCTGTCAATTATTATACCTTATTTTAAAGTGGTGCCGCCATGGTGGCAGACATAGTCGTGGATGTCCTCATTACACTACATACTTGGTATAACGGCAAATATTACCACTGAAAACTTCCTGGTACTAATGACAGAAAATTTAAACTGATAACATTAATTGGAACCATGCTTTATCGAGCTACTTGCGTTATTTCCTCAAAACGACACTATTTATCATTTAAACCGTATTAAATAGGAGTTGTTATTCTTAATATTCTTGACTTATTTTTATTAATCCTTATATACAGTACGCTCTCGCTAATCCGCCGCTCGATTATCCGACAAGTACTATAATCCAACGTTTTTTGGACTGGAGGTTGGTCTTGATTAAACTCTGTAATCCGCCGACACTAAGTCTTCTACTCGATAATCCGCCGTCTTACGTCTCTTGCATGCGTAAGACGAACAGAATTCTGTACTCCACCGCACGGTGCTCAGGAACCAGTTACAGTTACCAAGTTAGGTAGCCAGACAACTAATTAGACGAAGAAATCACGTTTCATGCTGTTAGCACTGTCACTGAAGATGCCCTGAATAGCGAAGGTATTTGTATTGAATGGGCTTAAGAAAATGGAAAGTCATGCGATATGGTTGGAAATTTACGTAAAATACGCGATGAAGTTATCAAGAATATATATTTTGGTAGAAAACAAGCAAAATTTGACCCATTTTTGTCCAAATATGAGTAATTACTTTTGTAAAAGATCCATGTTTGTTGATTTCTTAAATACCATATATGAATAAATCATACATTTTTTGTTTTTTAAATAATTTGTTGTTCCTGTTCATTATAATCGGCCGTTTTCATTAATCCGCCGATGGTTATGATTTTATGGTGGCGGATTAGCGAGAGAGTACTATATTTTCGCTGTTAAACAAGGAACTCCCTTTCTGTCATCTTTTCTTTTATTGGGAACTAGCTGTTACCCGCGGCTTCGCCCGCATGGTCACTGGAAAGTGAACTATCCATTGCTTTTTGAATTGAAAGAAATCTGAGTTTTATAGATTTGTCAGAGATGCAGCCATTAAAAGGAAACTGAGCAAAATTGATTCGTCAGCCTATTTAAATGTTTTGAAACGCAGCGTATAGGAAAGCATGAAAATAGCCTGTTTATTCCAAATGGAAATGGGATATTTTTTTAATTAAAGGAAACTGAGCATAATTATCCGTCAGGGATGCAGACTTTTGAAAAGAAACTGAGCTAAATTGATTCGTCAGAGATGCAGTTTTCTGAATTGAAAGGAAACTGAGCCAAATAAAAGATCCGTCAGAGATGCAGCCTTTTGAGTTGAAAGGAAACTTAGCTTAATAGGTCCGTCAGAGGTGCAGCATTTGAAATTGAAAAGAAACTGAGCTAAATAGGAAATATTGAATTGAAAGGGAAGATCTGTGGGAATTCTGATTAAATGATTGTGAGAATTTTGGAAAAAAAAACTAACTGAACACTATTTTAAGACGCTACTGTACACAATGTTATATGTTTTTCCATTCGGGGAAATATGTGGAGATTCTGGGCATTTGACACACGCGAACATGCTACATACAGCTGACCATGAGAGAAGCACGGTTTTTCTAACTTGAACCTCGCTACCTGTAACGTTTGCCCTTGCGCTTTATTAATTGTCATTGCAAAACTGAGCTTAATAGGGAACTGCAACCTTTTGAATTGAAAAGGAAGATCTGTGGTAATTATAGGGATCCGTGGTATAATAACATTTTCACCTTTTCCTACGCCTGTCAAAATTGTAGCACCGATTATGTTCGGTCCAAGATGTGTCACCCGGAGCCTTGTCCCGATACATAACCGAGGAGCATCTAAATTTCGCATTAGCATGACTGGGACGCCTAATTTTAATTGAAGCTTATGTGAGGGCACACCTGACAACTCTAGAGAATTTAGAAACTCTGCGAGATATGAAGTGCTCTATTCTGTGTCCATAACTGTGTCTACTGACAAATACTCTGTTATTTCTCCTGCTACTTCGCTTAATATATCTGAATTTATTTTGTTAACGCTCTCATTTTTTGGTGCAATAATCGCCCTTTCACATAACCATTTGTCTTCATGCATGTTGTTCGTTAAATCTGAGTAAACTCTCGCAATTAATTCGGAATGACTCTGTACTAAATTACAAATATCTCTCGTCAATTTAGCGCAGCCCTCAGCATCCGTTTCCAACCGCCCATTGCCAATTTTAATAGTGTGTCAGCATAGTTTCCAGCATTGATATCATTATACAAATGCGCTCTCATATTCGTAGTTAAACTGAATTTTGTCACCTTGTTACATAAAATAGACGACTTGAGGCATCCTTTAATTTCATATGCAGGTGTGCCCTTTTGAATGACAGGTTAAGTTTGGCGAAAGTCACCAGCCAGTAAAACCACCATTCCTCCCATTACATCGGTATTGCTGCGCAAATACTGGAGCGTTCGATTTAGTGCTTCTACAGCTTTTTTTATGCAACATTGTACTTTCGTCCCACACTAAAAGTTTGCATTGTCGTAGCATTATACCTCGTGCACTATTTTTGCTAAAGTTGCAGATCGGCGATTCTTGCTAGATTTAGAGGGAGTTTTAAAACAGAATGTGCAGTGCGGCCCCCGCTTAGCAGCGTGGTGGCTACACCGGAGGAAGCTACGGCCACAGCAATGTTTTTATCTTTCCGTACTTGCGCTAATAATAAATTTAACAAAAATGAACTGAAGGTACTCCGGGCTAACTTTGATATCGGGACGTCAGTCACCTCAGACCCCCGTGACCATGGGTGCTGGAAAGCACCCGAAACGTCGGTCATAATCATAGTGCAAAAATTAAACAAAAATTACGATTTTTCAAAACAATATTATGGGATTTAAACTTGCACCATTTAATGCGGTAAACGGTCGCCTGACCTTACCGCTAAATTCCCCGTTGACATGTTAAACAGCCGTTCCCTTGCAATTTATAATATTACTGCCCCGCTCCTTTATAAAAATAGCGTGATTATTATGTTCGCAGAGTTAAATTTTTATTTTAACTAATATCATGTCATTTTGTGCATTCAATTATTTTGTGCATTCAATTACGAAGAAAAACCTTTTGAAAATCAATACTGCTTACCCCCTATAACATACGGCGTGATAATATGTAGCCTAAAGCCTCCCCTTGGTTTACAAAGAATATTTTTGCCGAATTTCAATTCAATCTATCCAGTGGTTTTGGCGTGAAGCCGTACCATACACACAGACAAACAGACAAAAAATCTAAAAAGTCACTTTTTGCCATCAGTTACGTTTTTCTAACAAAAGCCACTTATTTTTTCTCGAAAATACTCAATGTACAGTTTTTCTTTCGTTACTGTTTTATTATATGTATAGATTAAGTCCGCCATTTTTACCTTAAGTTTTTTTTAGAATAACGAGCACACAATCCACCTGATGATAAGTGGATGCTGTGGCCATAAACATCTACATTTAACCTCGTATAAGAATCAAAATGCAGATGCGTTGTCACCCGTGAGGACTAAAATGGCATGCCTCGTTTCCAGTATAAAGGTTCTCCGGTTCTCTACACTCATCATACGGACATAAACCAGATCAGCATTAAGCTGCTATTTTAGGCTGGTATTTTTTGTGAGGGCATCCCCGGTCGATCCAACCCATTTCTGCTACATCCATAATATAGCTGCAGCTTGGCTCTACTACGTAGGTAGTTTAGTACAAAAAAGTGTTACATAAATATTGAAAAAATAAATAAAGCAGGCTTACTGTTAGTAAAAAATATCGTTACTATTGCGATTAAACATACGAGTACATACTTTCGGCCTGCTAATATTCGGAGAAGAGATGTTTTTCCGGCACCAGATGGTCCCAAGATGAAAGTGAGTCGCCCGGGTCGTATAGCACCACACACATTGTTTAGGACCCTTAACTCATTTTGACGAAAACCACCCTTTATCTTTGGCCAAGCATTACCTGTAAAAAAATCGTAAATACTGGTATTATTTCTCGAAATTGTAAACGTGAATACCCTAATTACTTGAAAGGGCCTTTATTATGGAGTGTAGAGGTAAGGAGTACAGACTCTGTATAAAAAAGTGTCTGTAGGAAAGCGCTAAATAAGGGTGGCGCCACTGTAGCTACAGTCTAAATTTTAAAGAACTTTTGTAATTTTTTTATTGCACAGACTTTCACCATATTTCTCTTTACAATAATTATTTTATTGCTTTCAAAAATTTTAGTTTTAAAATCACTCTCAACGTAATTTATGGCAATTTATCATTCTCTGTAGCTACTCGAGCGCTGTTGTGGAGAGTTTTTGAACTGTTATTTACTGCTTACAGTTGGACACATTTTCAACTATTCTTCTATGGGAGATTGTCCTCCTTACCTCTATACTCCATGGCCTTTACGATGACAATCTTAACAATCAGACAATTAGTGTCAAATATACCTACATCATAGTAAAAATATATTTAATTTGATTTATTTTTAATTATTTTATTTCTACTAGCGATCCGCTCTGGCTTTGCACGGGTGATTTCTGAATTTCGACAACAGCGCCACCTACCGGGTTTGATTGTGAATCAAAGTCATCCGACCTAATTAAACGCACATACAAAAATCATCAAAATCGTTCGAGGCGTTTTAGGTAGACTAACGGACAGGATTCATTTTTATATACCTAAACTATGGTTCTACTGCGGATATAATTAATTTTTAAGTGCCTTATCAATGACCTTCTAAAGAATACTTCTATTTGCTTACCTCAAACATTTAATTTTATTATAAACGCACAGTATAATATGAATAGCTTATTATGTGAACAACTAGCTTATAAATTAATGGGCCGGTGCTCAGTGTGGCCATTCCAATCCATTCAGAATTTTCGTACGCGGAACAAGAATTTTAATAGTCCGCTCTGACGAGAGTTGCGAAACCCTCGCACTAGTAATGTTGCTCCCCACCACGTCTGTGAAATTTGTGCTTGAGGTACATGATTCATAGATTAACCTGCTGCATTCTATCGCCATAGGAGTAATAGTGTTCTCTGCTATCGCCTCGTCCGGCTATGGGTGCAGCACCACACGCAGCGGGTTAGATTGGCACTCTGATAAATTAATAGCATGTTTCTTCTTAGGTGCACCCTAAATATTATTTATACGTGGTAGAGCCATGCTGCAGTTATATTAGTAGTATAGTTGTAGCACGAATGGGTCGGCTCGACCGGGGAAGGACCACGCTCTCACAGAATACCAGCGTGAAATAGTAGCTTAATGCTGCTGTATTTCGTATGGTGAGTGTAGAGAACCGGAGACCCTCTTTACTGGAAACGAGGCATTCCATCTTTGTCCTCACGGGTGACAACGCATCTGCATTTTGATTCGTAATCGAGGATAGATGTAGATGTCTATGGGCCACAGCAACCACTTACCATCAGGTGGACTGTGTGCTCGTTTGTCACCCTATCCTATAAAAAAAAATATACATCCTATTATTAATTCGATAAAGTTTAATTATTACAGTACGTAAACAAAACCATTTATAAACGTATTATTATTTATTTATAAGTAAGTAAATAATATAAGAAATTACTTATATAAAACCTTAACTCTTAAATAATTATTTAGCTGACAACTACTTAAGAAATCATAGGTTTCTCTTCTTTTATAAACATTGCTTATGCTGTAATTATTAAAGATGACAAAATTAATTCGGCAAGATTCGTAAGCCACATCATTGTTATCTTTAATCAGCAAAGTAACACCTGATTCTATTAATTATGTTGTATTATATTAATCAATGAAGAAAATATTTTCTATTTACACAACGAATAACAAATTGAATGATTTAAAACAATCTTAAACTGAGTAAACTGGACTATATTTAGTCGTCCGTAATCCGAGACTTTGTTTAACCACGACTCGATTTCAGACACAAGTAAATGTAGACTCGTATAGTAGGTACGTAAGGGTAATATTATGGTTATCCTGTTCATATGGTCACTTTCTTATAACCCAAAAACTACAGCCTTGTTTGCATAGATGGCTCTGTGATACGATAGCTATACATCAGTAAACTTCGGTCAACAGTTGTTGGTATTATTGATCGAAGTCAGTAAATCAAATAATAAAGTGTAAAAAAGGCGCCCCCTTATCAACGCCATTTTGACAGGTGACATTGTAGTAAATATTTTATATAATCGATTTAGTATTGTGTAGTGTAGTTAATTCCTTTTAAGTTGAATTTTCGAAGTGTTACTAATTATTGATAAAGTTTGTTAGCTATTTTTTTTACTTTATGTTTTTGTCTCTGTCTTCCTCATAGTTTTGGTATTATAGGGCGGCAAAGCTTAATGTGACCATACCACCCCCCGTACCTTTAGTGCTTGTTGTTACATCGTATTATTAGGTGCAAAATTTAAGCATGCCTTAAGTTTTTCAAAACTTACTTATTTTGTCATTTATTGCAAACACCTTCAACAATAGTTTACGAATGGCGGAGTTACTGCCTCATGGCATTATCTACCAGTAACAATATCATCAAATAAAAAACTATGTATTAAGATTCAATATATTTGACACTTTGAAATCGCGATTGTAAAGACCCTTAAAAGTAATTACAGTTTTTATGTTTACAATTTACCAGAAACAACAATATATACCACACAAACACACACACACACACACACAGATATGTATATATATATATATATATATATATATATATATATATATATATATATGTCCTCCTTTTGGCCACGGCAGCCTGCCTCAACGAAGGCTAACCATCGGCGCAGGACAGGATTATAGTGCCCAAGCGTATGCGCAAGCACAAGTTCACTCTCTATACCAGTGATGGGCAAAGTACGGCCCGCGGGCCACCTCCGGCCCGCGAAAGCATTTAATCCGGCCCGCCGACGGTCCTTCGACATGAATAGTATATGTCCCGCGATAATTATATTTTGATGGTCCATAAGTATAAAGTAGATTTTACTTAGTAGAATAATAGACGCATAGGTAAAGCGGGCTACATACGACACGATATCGGTGGCGATCTAGGGTGGAGTAGTGGGGATGCCTCCTAGATTGCCTCTAAATCGTGTCGTATGTAGAGCCATCCTAAGTCGTAGCCGATATCGCCTCCTTAATCGGCTGGCAGGAGCAAAAATGCTTCCTAGATCAGCCGATGCTTCCTAAATCGGGGCACCGCCCCCTCCTTACTGCGTGTGTGTAGGCGCATCGGCCCGATTTCTTTTGGCAGTCGCTGCCGGCAACCCTCGCGGAAGGAAGTTAACAAAACAGTGATACTGAATGACCTTTTTTATGTAACAAAATTTTTACATTTTAATCATATAAACGGAGCAGAAGCCTATGGCACTGATATTTTACAAAAAACCAAAAAAAAAGTGAATAAAATAAATAAATTAAATGAAATTTAATCGAAATTCAAATCATATCCACCCTAGCCTGTGACCCTGCGAAGTGACATGGTCAAGAATGCCTACTAAACTAATTTTTTATTGCCGTTCGTAAAGTAGAGTGTATGATGTAAGTAAGGAGAAGATAAAGCCTCTCCTCAACAACTAACTCCTATTCCAACACTATCAACACAAGACCGCACTCATATCTCTTACAACTCCACAAGACCAAAATTCGATCTCTTACGTGCCTTCATCCTCTTATAAACAACTAACTTCTACTCCTTCACCATCTCCACATCAACAAACAAGTTATATAAAAGGGAGTATGTCCGAAATTAAAGGTTTCTTTATGTTTAAAAAAAAGATATAAGCTATTTTATTTTCTCATAGTTTTACTCCATAAATAAAGATTACATTAAAAAAAGTATACATATTATTATACAAAAGTATTTTATTTCCTTGTTTGTTGTGTGTAATACATAACCAGATTTTGACCAAAGCAGAAATGAACAAAGAGAAGAAATAACTAAATAGCATAGGTACATAGGAGAAATTGATGTTTTTATATAAGTGGAGAAATCATTTCTAGAAGGTTATAAAAACTGTCTTCATCCATCCGGAGAAAATTAATCATGTCTTTGGAATACAGATCATTTAGTACGTTTATGTGGCTTAATTTTTGTCTCTTTTGGAGCCATTTTTTCACCCAGCAACTCCTCTTTTTCTATTTTCGAATAAATTTACCGAGAGGGCTAATGCCAAACCAATACATTGGTGTTTTAAGAGAGTTGAAGCTATTTTGAAGAACTCTACCGCATATGTGTTCCGCTCCAAGTCCGAACGCGTACTGCTAGGCAGGCCCGTGTGTAGGGTCTGCCCCGATAAAAGCCCCGATTTCTTTCCACCCTAGATCGCCACCGATATCTTCTCGTGTGTAGCCCGTTTTAAGGAGCCAACTAGACTAGACGCGTAGCCGTAGTTCATGTGTTGCGGGTCGCGGGGCGTGGGGCACAAAGAAGCGTGGTGAAGGGAGAGGCGCGGGCGCGGGTGAGTAATAAACTCAGTCGCCTACTGTCACCGAGTGAGCCGCACATAAAGTTTTGCTTGTTTGCGTGGGTAATTTTGTTTTAAATTTGTCCCGTGTTCTTTCTTGCTTGTTCGAGTGACGCACTAAATTCATAATTGTATCAAAAATAAAGTTCCGCTTTTGGGATAATGGCGTGTAAAAAACGAAAAGTTGATTCCGAGTGTCGACTGTTTAAAGAAGAGTGGGCTTGGAAATACTTCTTTACAGAATACAACGGTAAGCCAGTATGTCTTATATGTAACGAAGCAGTGGCGGTATTTAAAGATTTTAACCTCGCTCGCCATTTTAACACCAAGCATGCTAAAACCAAATATGCTTTAATGAATGACGCCGAAAAAAAGGTGAATGCGGAAAACCTAAAAAAAACAATATCTGGCCAACGAAATATGTTTATAAAGAAAAACACTGCTCAAAAAGCCTCTACACTGGCTGGATATGTTGTGGCTTATAACATTGCTAAAAATA